TAATATGAACTTATTTGCTAGTTGTCCTAGAAGCATTTTGTTAGGAGCAGATAACAAATCCTTGTTTTTGTTGCAAATACGTCAAGCCATCTGGATTATGGGAGGCAAGGCCATTGCTGCATCACAGGTTACAAATCTTTCTATGAATTCTTTGTTTCCATCAAGTGAAAATGAAACATTAAAGATTAAACATTTGACCATTCTTTTCCAATCTCAGGAGACTGGAGAAGTATTCAGAGAAAAGTGGGGGGAGGAAATCTATTTAGGATTTTTAATGATAGCAATGTTCTTGTCCTTTCTCCAGTCTTAATGCTAAGAACTTTTCATTCCTTGGCACAATCATCACCCAAGAACAAGGGATGAAATGTGCAGAGGAATGAAACAAGAACGAAACTGAAAGAGCTAACTTGAATGGTGGAACCCATTGAAATGACAGGAGATGCAGAAGAAACGAGAAGCCAAATACAGGTTGTTCATTACTCTTAAGTGTTACTTGGAAACAGACTAACAAATATAGAGCTTACGGTAAGCTATGAAAAACAATGATGGATTTTCTCATAGTTACGAGCGGGTTTTTTAAAAAAAATCATCTTCAGAGATTATGGCAGCACGTAAAATTATCTAGCCATAGTCACCTGAAGAAGATATGGGTTATTTCCTGGAAGAGAACCTTGAAACTTAATTTGGCTCAACTTTGACCATCTCATATTAGTAAAACCAGCTGAAAATGGAAAAGGATTAAGTTTTGATACCTGGGAAACAAATTTATGAATCTAAAGCTCAATGAACTGGGTTTCAAAAACATGTCAACATAAAGGCCAAATGATACTGTTCAATAAGTTTGCATTAAAATTTGTCATATGGTTGTTGATTTGTGCAAAGTACTGATGGTTGATCTGTTGGCTTACTGGAAACAGAATCTTTTAATTTTTTTAATACAATTTTTTTGTGTTAAATGCAGCTGTGCTGCATTTAAATATCAAAATATTTTAATATATCTACAAATTCATGTTGCCTTAATCAACTATTAACTCAACATTTACAGCTGGTTGTTTAATTATAACAATTAACAAGTTATTTAGGTTATAGATTGGAAGTAATATCTTATTTTGCAACTACCTGTGTTCAACAGCTGCAGAGAAATTGGTGTAGGTCAGATACATACAGTAGATAATTTTATCCTTCTATTTTGGATGTGAAAAAAATCTTAACAAATGGAAAACTGATCAGTTACCAGGTTATATGATCCCAGGGTGTAATTTAATTTATTATTTACATTTTTATGTCACTTATCTTCCTTATAAGGTGACTCTGGGTGACTTACAGATTTTAAAAAGACAATAGAAAAATAAAATATTAAAACTATGCAAGTTAAAAATGTAAAACTATTAAAAACAACAGGACTAAGAGACAGACAGCATGGAGAGGATGTCCTCTTATCCTATCAACCACCTCCAGCAGTGAGTGCCCCTCTGGGAGCCCCAAGCTAGCCAGCAAAATCAAGTTTTAATATCCTTCGGGAAGGCCTAAAGCAGCAGCTCCCAACTTTTGGGCAACCAGACACAGGTTCCACTGAGAGAGTTTTTTCCACAAATGGCGGGGGGGGGGGGGGGGGGGTTGGTTTTCAGTGCTGTCTGCATCCCACAAATAGGGTTTCGCTTGTTTGTGCGGCAGAATTGCTTAATTACAGTTTGAAAGTTCATAGAGAAGATAAAGGTTGAGACAGTTGGTGCCTCTATTACCTGACAAATGTACTGTATATTATGGTCTCTGTGAACATGTACCTACATACAGTGGACTCTCCAAATATGCTTTACAGATGAGCTAATAAAAACCAAGATAGGTTTTAACAGCTAAAGTTTCTAGCCACTGACAGAGATTCTGAGAACTATACTTCCACCAAAGTTGGAAGGCAGAAATGATACATAAACAGAAATATTGTTCAGTATGGATTGAATATGGATTTGTCTGAAATGGTACACAGTTTTCTGCCTAAACAGGAGGTTGGACTAGAAGATCTCTAAGGTGTCTTCCAACTCGGATGTTCTGTTATTGAATAGAATGTATTAAGTTTAAACTCTTAACTCTTTTTGGAATGATAATAATACACTGTTAATAATTTAAATGAGATAAAATATTTATAGCAACAACTTAATAAACGGACTTCATCTGGGCTTCTGCATAGAGAATACAGAACAAGCCGTACCTTTACTGTAATTTGGGCAGAATATAGCTGGTTGTAATCTTTCTAATTGTTTGCCAACTTTTATTGTTTACAATAGGGCAATAATATATTAGCACATAAAAGAGGACATATGACGTGTCCTTCCCTAGTTTAAAGGTACAAGGTCATGGACATGATCATATTAGTTAGCGAGTTGTGTTAAGAGCTATGCTCTTTTCTACTCAGCTCATTTTAAAGTGAAGTGAAAATTACAGAAGGATGACTTTAACCAATATTTTAATGTCTCACTGTCTATGTGGGTCTCCAGTGCTTGTTTCCAGTACTAAGGTACGCTCTTGGGAAAGGTTTTCTTTCTGATTTGCTTGCCCTTGTCCGGTGTATAATTTCAAGTGTTTAACTGGTGTGAACTAGTATAACTATTTTTAACTTCAGTGTTATGCTGTTTTCAGTCAGATAACTATTGGCATTTAGAAGAAGAACTTTCTGAATGTTACTGTGTTGTTTTGTAAATATGAATTGCTGCCAGCAGTTGGAGGGTGGGTGTAGGTAGACCATTGAAGAGTTATGTTTAAATTGTTAATATTGTATTACATAACAAGGATATACAATAAAGGAGGGAGTTAATTATTTGAACACAGGGAAGTTGATGTCATTAGTGCAGTCTTATGCAGATATACATGTATTCAAGAGTAAATCTGAATAAAGGGGGATATATGTTCAATTAAATATTCATTAGGTGGCTTACATAGATCTATTGCTAACTTGTTTGCCTGAGGCAAGGTTCATGCAGGGAACTGTTTCTTAATAAGCAGTTGGAAGTTAGGACAGTTCAGAGTGCAAGTTGTATTAAGTATTTGGAGGTAAGAGTGCTCCAGTACGGTACATCTTTTCCTAAGTTATGGTGCTAAAAAATACAGGCTTTGAGATACTTTGCTTATCTTTATCCATAACAATTTTGTATCTTTAGGACTTGAAAATATGTATTCTAACTGGATGTTATTTGTAATAATATGTTGCATTATGTCTTTAAATGCTATCAGAGGCTGACATTAGCAAATGAGTCAGAAATATAGAAGATTACCAAAATTTAGTATTTTCTAATTGGAACGTTTATCATCTGCTGCAGTCTGACTCCTTCAAAATGACTGAAACGACAATTCCCAGGCATGCTAGCTAATGAATTATGGGAGTTGTAGTCCCCCTAATAGTTGGAAGGTGTCAGATTGGAAAAAAATACTTTGGACCACTGATAGGGTTTCTACTTTCTTAGTCCAAATGTTGCTCAAACATTTTTTTCTTTCAGTTATAAGAAAAACTCAGATCACTGGATCACTTGACAGCATGGTAGTTTCGATTTCAAGTCAACTTTCTCCAGCCAGATGCTTCTAGACTGTGTTAGTTCCCTTGATCTCTTAGCTGGCATGGGCCTAGACCAGCTGGAGGATTGTGAAAATAGAAATTCAACATATCTGGAGGTTAATCGGTTAAGGAAGAATACTGCTGCTTTTGTTCAAAGGAAGGCATATTCTTTTAAGTATAGATATTGTTAGATTCTTTTTGAGCTAATTGTTTCTATCCATTCCCATCAGATAAGGTTGCAAAATCATCTGCCAATATAAAGATAGTGTCTAGTTTCATAAATTGGACTGAGATACAATGTGTGTATATGAAATGGGTGGATAGGGATATTTGCTCATTTTCCATTAAGCGTATTACGTAACTCCAAGACTTATACTTCACAAACCATGATTTTATGTCTTGCCTGGCCAAAAGAAAATGAGTTATCATGATGAATAAACCCAATGTCTTCTGTAAATTAATTGGAAAAATAACTAAGAAAATGAAGTTAGCAATATGCATGCATCTTCCCTTAATTAAATCTTTGTGTTTAATGGAACTCACAGCCCTAGTAAGAAGGTTGTAGAGTGAAGCATTAGGTTCAATTTTTGTAACAGTAGCGCAAAAGGAAAATGAGATAGTAAGTCATTAATGTATCTTGGCTTTTTTCCAGAGTAATTTCAAATCATCATAGCCGTATATTTCATGTCATACAATGATCCACAACTTCCCTATTATTCAATATTAATGTCCCTCAGTTAAGAACAAACAGTAGGTTGGAGATACTGTATAACCATTCTGTTTTGCAACAAGACATGATATAATGTCATTGCACAAATAACTAAAATATGTAGTTTCCCTAAATAAATTTTAACATGATGGAAATCCATAAGCCATGTTTTAATGCACACACCATTGTTTCTCTTTCATGATTTCTCTTGAGGACACCTTTGACTGCCACAGTTATAATTCCACAGTCAATCTGGTCTTTGTAAGAGTTATAATCGTAACACACAGGAAATCATAGATCTGAAAACTCTATGCTTTTGTCACATGCTGCTACAAACTACTGGATAAATAGAATGTATATATTTTGGTAAAATTTCCTATCCCCCCAAACTGTCTGAATTTGCCATTGGCTTTTTTAAAATTAATGTTTAACCACAGGCTATCAACATTTGCTATAAAATATGCTTGATTGTATATATATATAGTCTCATTAAATGGCTTATTTTTACCTCTTTTTGCTAGGGGACAGGGTTATTGCTTTTCATTGATTTTTTTATATTAGGTTTTTATCCTTGTAAGCTGCCTGGAGTCATTGAGAGTAAACTGGGCAGCCATATACATTTTATTAAATTAAACAGAAATGGAAGAGGAAATTGCATGGTACATAGACCCTATTTAGAACAACATAAATCCTTATATGATTTTAAAGTATTTTTGGTTTATTTGACTTGTTCACCTTTGAAAAAAGGTTGTTACTGATGAACACTGGAAGAAGTTTCAAGATGAAGAAAGAACAGATGCTCAAAAAGTCCGAACCAGAAGATGGGGTTCTGGAAAAAGATCTCGGCCTCGGCCCCTGTCAGATTATGGTCAGTTGGCAATTAGAAGTTCGTCCATTCCAGAAGATTCTGTTGCTATGGATTCCCAGGAAATGGACTCTCTGGAGAATGACAGTGAGACCAAGCCTCCCCCTGTTAAATCAGGGACTTGTGCAGTAGCCAATCCAAAAACTCACAGAAGACGACCCATCTCTATCATTGGTGCAATCAGTTATTATGAAAATAATCAAACGGAAGAAATAACCGCTCTCCTTGCACAAGTAAGAAATAAAATTCACTCATTGAAAAAACTCAATCAAAAGATCATCCTTCTTTTCTTCCCTGTAACCTTCAAATTAGAACATAGTGGATGCTCCTATTCCTTCTTTCTGCTTCTTCCAAATCATCACTACATATTTATTCTTCTAAAAGCATGATATCAGATTAATTAATACTTTTATGTAGATAATTCTTGCTCTATAATTATGCTATACTATGTTATACTAACTTTTCCTCCCCTGAATGTTGCTGCTTTTGTATGAGGTTTTAAGATATTTCTCTTTTACTGTGCACCTCTTTGTTCTGTAATAAAACAATACTGATGATGTTGCATTATAAGAAAAGTAACGTGATATTTCAGAGTATAGAGACATTTATGAATAGTAACTGGGCATGTACATAACCAATTTAATGCAGATTTATAAGAGATGCTTCATGCGTCATGACAATTCATGAATCTGCCCTAGATGGTTAGAATACGATCTAGCTTTATAGTTACAAAAGTTTAAAATCATAATAAATATTTATATTATTTCAATGTATGATTATTATAATTAATGCATCATTATAGAAAATCAAAGACCTTGCTATCAGGTGTATAATATGATCATCTAACAGAATAGATCTATATTCCTCTTGGTATTAAGCAAGAATTGCTTTGTGATCCTATCTACATCTACTCTTATTTTTCATTATCCAGTCTTTTATTTCAAAAGAAAAACCGAAGCAAGTAACCATCATTATCATAAAATCCTATTGAGAAAATCATAATAATCTGATGACCCTTGGTTGTAGGATTAATTTTTGGGAGTTCATCTAAAGTGATTATGATAGTATATGTCAGTGGTGGCTAACCTTTTTGGGCTCCTGTGCCAAAAATTGTGTGCGTGCTGGCACTCATGCACTCACATGCCAGCACCCAGAAGACAATGTGTGCCCCCCGCCCCATGTGTATGCATATGCAATCCCACTGCTGCTCCCCCCCTTATCTGCATTGTGCCTCACAGCTGTTTTTTGGCTGGTTTGAGGCCTTTTTCGGCTATTCTGCAGGCCGAATAGGCCTGTTTCATCACTTCTGGTATTACAGGAAGTGACAAAATGGGCCTATTTGTCCTGCAGAGGCTTTTTTCAAGCCTCTGGGAGGCTGAAAAAGGCCTCAAACCAACCGAAAATCAACTGTGAGGCACGCACATGCATAGTGAGGGAAGTTTGCCTGTGGCTCGCATGCCGACACAAATGGCTCTGCGTGCCACCTGTGGCACACATGCCATAGGTTCGCCATCACAGGTATAAGCAATAAATAATATAGAAATATGAAGGACCTATTCATTTAAAAAAACAAACTGAAGATGCAAATCAAGTTAGAATATTGGAAGTTATACTTTATTGTATTACAATTCCAAGAAGGGTTTTACTTAACTGTATTGATTTTGGCCACAGTTGCATGGCATGAGGCATGATATAAACAACAGTTTATCTGCAAATGTTCTCAAGAGCTTACAACCTCACATTGCATAACTATAAGATACCAATCTTCAGTTTGTTTATAGGTTGTTGTGCTATCTCAATGACATATATGGAGAGAAAAAGAAATACAGTATCACTCTTAATTCTTGTAGGTTGATTAAACCATCACAGCTGGGTGATTTGCAGCTGTGCTACTCACAAGGAAGAACATCTAGGCATGTTCACAGTTTAAATGTAGTTAGCTATAGCAATTGTTCAAACGTGGCTCTTGGCTCAGTTATATGAAACACAAGCTATTAAAAAATAATTTTGAAAAATATTGAGTTAATTCTTATTTTCAACCTGCAGGTTTTTTTAAAGTATATGTTTTACAGCCCACCCTGAAATGTTGTAACCAAACATGTAATCTCCCCCAAAAGAAAGATTTTTGCAAATGTTACCAAGATAGATTAACAAAATAGATTCATTTCATTCATTCAGAATTCAAATTGTGAATGGATGCATACAATTCTTTGTGATACAAAGTTTGTAAACATGTAGGCTTTGAGTTGTGTGAGTGATGTATTTGGATTTGAATAGTGGAGTTAATGTAAATAAAATTTAATTTTACAATAAGTCACTGAACTCAGTAGATCTTGAATAGGTCTAGCTGTATTCATAGGTTTCTGGTAGAGATACCTTGCTTAGAAATTTTCTCTGTTTTAGCCTTTGAATATTTGCAAAGATAGTGTTTTTTTTAATTTCACAGATAAATATGGAAGCTTTGCAAAAAAAAAACCCACAACCCAAACCTTGAATTATTTACTTTAATATTAATTTCCTTTAAAGGCAACATTTTGTGTTAATAAGGTAACAGTCACTATTTATTCATTTATTGGAAAAAAGCTAGGCTATTATCTTTAAACTTCCCATTGTGGAAACATCACAAATATTGTTTCATTATATTGTTACTTTTTTTACTTTTTCAACAAAAATGGGCAGTTTTTCTATGCATGTATAATTCATCCTCCTGCCTCCCACATACTGTGTTCTCTAAGGCAGTCTTCCACAGTAAACATTTGCTGTGCTAATGCATATTTGCTGGATGTAAGCTTGAATTAAATACCATCTTACTACCAGTGTTAATAAAAAGTTGAAATGCTTACAAACAAATGTGTGGAAATTATTGTAAACTCCTTGTGCTTGTATAGGACCCACAAGGAAAATGGGAAAAAGAGGGTTTTATAATTGAACCATCTAGTTTAACTGGAAGGTATGAAGCACTGTAAACATGATGGATCAAAAGAGATTTTGAAGGTTTTTGTAAAGATTATTTTAAGAAAAAGAGAAAGGAAATCAATTGTATGCAAAGAATGAGAGAAAATGCACAAAAATGCAGGGGTATTTAAGTTTCATAGTCAGCTTTTAAAATCAATCTAGAACATAAGCTAGTAGAATGCCAGAAAGTAAAATCCCTTTTTAGTCCTACTTTCACTTGCTTGACAATTTAATTTAGAAGAAGGAAGCATTTCAGTTTCAATGAATATTAAGTCTTCCCAGACAAAAGAGCTGCTCGAAAAGCTGTGAAAACCTGACAAAGAGGTTGTCAGAGCTTTAGAACTGAAATGTGAAAAGTGCTCACTTCCTCTTTATTAAGGGCGAATTAGTTAAAAAGAGCGAATAAGAAAAAGTGAAAAGGGATATTTTATTTTTATAGAGGAAGAAGAAGCTTGGAGTTAGACATCTGTATGAAATACATGAATTGAAAATTGCTTTTAAAAATGTTTATTGTGTTGGAATTGTGAACAGGACCAGAAAAAGGTAGTTAATGAAAATCAAATGCTCTATCCCTGATTCGTGATTTCAGCCAAACCATAAACCAGGGCCTTCCTATGTAGGAAGGATTAAAAAAAAAAAGTTGGTGATTGTGATCCATGATCAAAGCCCTATTGATGAGTAAGGGCGAAGCTTCAATTGTATGGTGGAAGCAGCCATCTTGACATTTTTTGACGCTCCCTGCTGAATCCTTGTCATAAACATAAAACAAGCCACTTGAGTTGCTTGTTTGCTTTCTGCTATGCTTAATAATATGGCAGTCCAGAAAAAAGACCCTTTCAATCATAGGTCTGAAATTTTCCCTGATATTTATTTTAGTGACTCTTGGGACCTTATTGGAAGCTATATTTTACCTCAGCCCATCCTATAATTTAAATGGTGAATATAATAATATTAATGAGCATTAATATGTTTCTGGTTTAGTATGTTTGTAGATTTTGCCTGGAAATGAATACTACTCTGTTGATTATGGAGATTGTAATTAGTTGGAGTAATTAGTATTTCCATAGTAATTTGGGTTGTTTAAGTTTGAATTTCATTTAACTTAGTTTTGCTATATTTATTTAATTACATCAACTTCTAAGAGTCTTGATACATCATTAAATGAACTCTTCCCCCCTCTGTCAAAAATTATTGTGCATGGTTCATATATCTCAATCGTCCAGTGTTTAAACTATACAAGTGTCACTAATTTCAGCTAGAAAACGAATATTGCACTTCTTATTTTTTCCCTTAAATTTGATGAACATTTAATTCAGTTCTTCTTTAGAATATGGAGTATTTATTCACTATTTGAATTTATTATTGCTGCCCAACTCTAATTTATAGAATATGTGTGCATGTATTTTAATTCAAACATCTTAAAATGTTAAATAATAGGCTTAATTTCAACAATTGAAAAAGATTGGAAGCTCTTTTGCTTTTGTTTAATGCTTCAGCAAGCTGTATACTCCAATGTTTTATTTCACTTTATTCCTCTTTCCTTTTCTTTCATTTAGTTCCAAGAAGTCAGGTAGCATGTATTGTCAGATTTTATTTTTTCTCTAAATTGTTTTTTCCTGAAATATATTCTGAATATCTGCGAGCCTTGGGCTTTTCCCAAACCGTCTGATATTTTCCATGTCTACATGAATGACACCCTTGTATGTAAGCAATTATATTCATCTCACAGTAGAAACGGAGATAGGAAAGGAACAGTATGTTGCAGCTAAATATGTTCGTTCAATATTTCAAGTGAGCCTGCAAGATCTTTTTTCTGAATATTCTAGTATATTACCTTCTCCATTTTTACATGGAGTAACTCAAGGTGGCATAGAAAGAGAGTTAAAAACAAATCATGATAATAAATGGGTCATAGGAAATTTAGAGAAAATGCTATAGGTAGTTCTTGACTTATGACCACAATTGAGTCCAACATTTAAGGTGCTAAGTGAGACATTTGTTAAGTGAACTTCCCCCCTTTTATGACTTTTCTTGCCATGTGTGAATCCCCGCAATTGTTAGGTTAGTAACACGGCTGCCATGTGAATCTGGCTTCCCCATTGACTTTGCTCGTCAGAAGGTTGCAAAAGATGATCACACGACCTTAGGACACTGCGACCATCGTAAATATGAACCAGTTGTCAAGCACTTGAATGTAATCAACCATGGGGATGCTGAAATGGTCATAAGTGTGAAAAATGGTCACAAGTCACTTTTTTCAGTGCTGTTGTAATTTCGAATGGTCACTGAACGAACTGTTGTAAGTCAAGGACTACTTATATTCCAGAAGATTAGAATAGTGACCAAGAAGCATACCTCCCATAGACAAGGGACTCAGAGTATGCCGATCCTACCTCCAGTGGCCATCAAGCAGACTGGTTAGGAGACATGATAGCAGTGTTCCAATATTTGAGGGGCTGCCCCAGAGAGGAAGGGGTCAAGTTATTTTCCAAGGCACCTGGAAGCCAGACAAGGAATAATGGATGGAAAATGATTAAGGAGAGATTCAACCTGGAAATAAGAGACACTTTCTGACAGTGAGAACAATCAATCAATGGAACGGAAGTTGCCCTTGGAAGTTGTGGGAGCTTCATCACTGGAGTCTTTCAAGAACAGATTGGACTGCCATTTGTCAGAATTGGGGTAGGGTCTCCTGCTTGGGTGGGGTTAAACTAGACCTACAGTACAAGGTCCCTTCCAAACCTGCTTATCTGTTATTTCCAGGATTGTTTTTAAATTTCTTGCCCCCTTCCCAACGGTGAACTTTTAATGGGATATTCTTCAGATTTGATCTCTTTTCTATTTGTAGAATTCATTAGCGGTAAGATAGATGATCAGTCTTGAGAATAATGTGGAACCCTAATGCTGATTTATAGCAAGAGGTTCCTTTTTGCTTGTTTCAAAAACAATTTCCAAATGAATATTATTTCCTGCACAGCTGTAATAAAATAATCCTTTTTCTTTTTTTGCCTTTTTAGCCTGTGGCACGGCCTCCTGTACCAGCACACCAGGTTCCCCCCTACAAAGCTGTCTCAGCTAGATTCCGCCCCTTCACCTTTTCTCAAAGCACACCGATTGGTCTGGATAAAGTTGGGTGTAAGCGTCAGATGAGAGCTTCCAATGGTGAGTTTCATTTGGGATGAAAGAAGTAAATAAAGGCAGAATATTCAAAAGTTTTACTCTATTGTTTCCCAACGCCAGAAGTGGTATTCAGCAGGTTCTGACCAGTTCTGGAGAACCGGTAGTGGAAATTTTGAGTCGTTTGGAGAACCAGCAAGTACCACCTCTGACTGGAAATTTTACAGAATCTTTCCCCTGCCATGCCCACCAAGCTATGGCCACAGAACTGGTAGTAAAAAAAATTTGAATCCCACCACTGCCCAACACCCACTCTTTGGGACTCAACTTCTGTAGAAATTCCTCTTAGAAAAAATTGTCTTCTTCAAATCTATTTTCAGTTTGGATTTTTTCCCCCTGCACCCCTCAGAATCATAGTTTTAGAAGTTTGTGGTGTTTTAATGTTTGTATGTTTGCTTAATTGCAAGGCTCTTAGTTCTTTTATCAAGAAAATAAATATTTTAAAAATAGAGTTGAGACATCTATGTTCCATGTATAGTATTTTGGACTGGATATGTATTGTTTTTACTAGATGCTGCTACATTTTCTTAAGCTTACAATATGTGCTGTTCTTAAGGGAACTATAAGATATAGAAAGTAACAGGTTACCAATCTGTGTGTGGGTGCCCTACAGATGCATATTGATATATCACTGGGTTCATCTTTATGTGGGTGTGTATCAGCGGTGGTATTCAAATAAAGTTGGCACCGGTTCGGTGAGCGTGGCTTGGTGGCCGCACTTTGCACGCATGCACAAACTTCGTGTGCACGCGTGCGCCAAACACGCACTTTGTGCAGGCGCAGAGGCATTTTAACTTGCCTCCTGCAAGCCTGCATGATGGTGGTCGCTGCCGCATGGCGCTATTCTGTGCCACGCAAAGCAGCTGCGCTTTGAATTCTGGCTATAAAAGTGAGTATGGGAGCCCGGGCAGGCGGGTGGGCCAACCACAGAGCAGCGAAGAGAACCGGTTCGGTCTCCACTGCTCATTGCTGCGACCAGCTTTCCAGAACCGGGCAGAACTTGTCGAATACCACCACTGCTGTGTATGTGCCCACATGTATATGTTATAGCATGTGTATTATGACAACATTACTGTTCAAAATAGAAAGTATTGCTACAATATTGGTTTGGCAACTTCCTTGCTAAAATTACGTTATATTTCATCAGGCATGTAAAATTGGTGTGTTTTTAGTCTGGTCTTCCCAACCTATTAGTTTCCTTATTTTTGTTCTGTTGGGAATAAGCAGTCAACACAATAATGTATTTTAGAACAACAACACCATACAAACAGTTTGATATACTTTCATGTTTCTGGTTTATTCTTGTTTTCAGCTGCTAGTTGATGGATTGTGTGGAGGTCTTGGTTTGAGCTTGGTTGTTTGCTTGCAGATATTTCGTTACCCAACTAGAAAATAGGATTTGGTCTTATACAATAGCTGGTTATTCCTTGATTAAGGTATTGTTTGCAGGATTGTTTGTCTGGTGCTAATCCCTGCTTATCTGGGTTTTGGCTGTTGGAGAAGATGTGTTCTGGTCTTTCTGTTTCCTCCTTAGCTTTTTTTCCCCCCAAAATCAGTAAAACTTTATTCTATTTCCATTCTCTGCCTTTAACAAAAAAATTGGAGAAAGCAATGTTTATTTTACAAAGATAACACATCTCCCAGAGAAGAAAAACCCTAAATTGAGAATAGAGATAACTTGGGGAAAAACTCTATTCAAAGTAAATAACTCCTGATATTTTTGGTTAAAGTAATACTGAGACCAATCATTCAGTTTGCTTGCTTAATAAAGTGTGGCTGAGGACTTTTTTATTGTCTCTTTTGAATGCAATTTGTAAATGTGGACTACTTCTGTGCCTATTGATGGCTGATTACCTGAATGCCAAGCTTCCAGCAATTCCTAGTGTTTCTGGATTTAGTTTAGTCTAGGATGGTCACAGTTTCCTATTTAAAAATATGGTTTGTCCATGCGCTGTAAAATTAAGAAGTTTTCGTGTTTTCTGACTGGTAGTTGGTATTCATAGATGCACTTCTGCCTGTCTGTCCTGCCTGCCTGCTTATTGTGGCTATGACACCTAATTTGCTTCTTGGACCTGTGTCTTTTGGCTTACTTGAGGGTTTCTGGAGAACTTTAGTTGGTTTCTTTGCTACAGTGATGCCATGTAAGTGTAACAGTCTGTTGGTTGTTTCTGAGTTATTTTTGATTTATGTTAGTTTTCTTTTTCATGGTTTGTGTTGGTTGTACTGTAAGGCATTGAGTGGTCAGAGACTTTTGATAAAGCTGCATGGGTATTCATTTTTGGGGATATATTCTGGAGCAGGAGTGTCAAACATGCATCATCAAGGTGGCGTCATATGACATATCCTTTTCTCCCTTCGCTAAACTGGGTGTGGGCGTGGCCAGCATGTGTCACATCTGGCCCACGGGCTGTGAGTTTGATACCCCTTTTCTAGAGGCAGTCAGATTTCTTTTTGTTTACCTATGTTGGATGGATTGTGATCTTCACACATGTGCATATTCATGTACACGGATTCCCATGCCCTGAATCCAAGCATGCAAATACTTTATTGCTTTGTTTTGGGGAGAAGAGATAGCAAATGCACCCTCTTTCCATTTGCAATATTTCTGAAGAATGCAAGGAGCTAAGTTGTACATTGGGTTTTCTCTACTGAGAATTAAAAGCTACAGCACTAATACTGTGATACTTCGGGCAGCTCAATAGTCAATTGTGGACTCAGGGGGATATTAAGCAGCCTGCCATGCAGCTTATTTGCAAGGCTCAGAAAGGAGTTGTAGTGCTTCAAGAAGCTTGGCCATTAAGACAGCGATTTCCTGCTGGGGAAAAATGTTTCTCTTGTGTTTAGAGCTTTATCAATAGCCTTGATAGTTAAAGTGAGTAAGTCTCCTTTCTTCATTGCACTAGCAACCTTTTATTTTTATCTTTTATTGATTTCATTGTCATTTCTTTGATCGTTGTGAGTTGCCCAGAAATAAATAAAAATAATGCCAGTGCTAATATAACAGCATATACAGGTAAACCTCGACTTAGCAACCATATTAATGTTGTTACGTGAGAAATTTGTTAAGTGAGTTCTGCCCCATTTTACAACTTTTCTTGCCCCGTTTGTTAAGTGAATCATTGCAATTGTTAAGTTAGGAACACAGTTTTTAAATGAATTTGGCTTCCCCATTGACTTTGCTTGCCAGAGGTCACAAAAGGGGATTCCCATGACCCTGGGACATTGCAACCATCATAAATATGAACCAGTTGTCAGGTATCCAAATGTAAAACACATGACCATGGGATGCTGCAATCGTCATTAGCGCGTAAAATGGTCATAAGTCACTTTTTTTTAGTGCCATTGTAACTTTGAACAGTCACTAAAGGAACTGTTGTAAGTAAAGGACTACCTGTACCAGATTCAGGGGAGGGAGGTAATACTGGTGGTATAGAAAAAAAAAACTTAAGGAACTTTTAAAGGGTTGTATACTTGGTATTCTATTTCCTGGAGACAATTTTCACTTGTTATTGGATGTGGGTAAAATATGCAAGAGATCCATTCATTTATTCAATTTATATAGTACCCATATAAAACCAATGACTCTGGGGGGTGAACAGTTATAAAAACTATTAAAAAGAAATGCTACAGCTTCTGGCTTACTTCTGCAGGCTTCAGTGAGTCACTTAGTTCAAGCCTGGAATCTGAAGGTGGAATTTATTTTGCGTTAGATAGATTCTCATTGTAACTCCCAAGAGCTATTCTGAGTTCTGCTGATGTTAACAAATAGAAAGCTGTCTCCATCACAACTGGGCCATTTTTTTCAAAAGATAGCAAAGTGTAGGGGCCAAGTGTAGAAATTGCCACATAATGCCCGGCTATTCATTTCCCATTGAGCCACTAAAGTCCAGGAAACCACATGACTTGCATGGATGTTTCAAAACTACAGTATTGCCTCAAAGATATTTTGAATAAGAGAACAACACAGTTGGAGAGTTGTGGTCCAAGGAGGGTGCAGTGTCTGACTTAAAAAGCCAACAGAATTAAGCAGCACTGAGGGATTGTTCTTTTTTTGAAAGCTTTGAGTTTTGCCAAGCGTACAGTCCAGTTGAGTTACTTTTTCGATTTTTAAAAAGTAGCATTTTCCATGGCTGCTGCTTTCAGAAAGGAAGTCCAAATACAGAAAGATACAGGGATCGTTGCTTAATGTGTCAGATCAGCACAATGCAGTCGCTGAAGAGATAAATTCTGACCTTGTATTTGTAACTACCATTGCTGTGCTGGGAAAGGAATTGTAATCCATGCTTAAGAACAGCTCTTCACAGATTATTTCAAGTTCCCTGGCCAGCCTTTTGCTTTCCCTCATTTGTGGGTACATGGGTACATAGCCAATTTCTGTATACTCCCCCATATTTTTCATCTTTTTTTGCCCTTCTGATTTAGCCTACATTGTTGCTAGGAAATAAGACAACAGGATACAAAGCTAGTTTTTGTGCTCAAGGTTTGCTCATCTCTAGCATTTGCAGAATTTGAATGGTGGCTTTGTAGGTTTTGGGCCACTTATGGCTGCATCAAGAAAAACCAAATGCCAGTTCTTTTAGAAGAGTAAGAAAAGCACTTGTGATTGTTGGTTTTAGCTAAGATTTTTCTGGTACCAATAGATTTTTGAAGCGCTTAAGAGAAAAGTTTATCACCTTCTGAAAAATACTGGGTGATGTCTGCAAATCCCTAGAACCAATAGAAGGAAATAAACAAGAAAAAAAAGCAAATAAGGCCTTAATTATAAGATCTAGCTGGCAATGCTGTCCTTAAGAATGCTTTTCCAGGATCAATACAAATACATACATTTTGAAAATGTCCTTCAAACCTTTAAACTTCATTTTTATTTATTAGATTCCAATATAATTCAAAAATGTAGTTTCTCTGTCAGGCACATTGGAATCACATATTAAAGAATAATATATACAGTATATTAGATTGAGTTTTAAAAAATTAAATTCTTATAC